ACATGTAAATGTTAATTTCTTCTTTAATTATGCAAATTACCTCCACATTAACATAATAAATGCATCGTGATGTTAACTTTTGATTAACTTACACATGTACCAAGTATGAAATTCCCATCATTTACCACTAAGGAGTCATAGAATTTTCGCATTAATTATGCAAATTAGGTCATCATTTGCATAATTGGTATCTGGTGATGTTCCATCTGCCATAGATTACATACTAGTACATTACATGTATGAAAGTACTATAATGCAAAACACTGTAATTATAGAATTTCCTCATTAATTATGCAAATTAAGTCCTCATTTGCATAATTTGCAGTTAATTATGTACATCTCTCTCTCAGCTACCTACCTACCAAAAATGATGAAAATACATTGTTTCTATCTGGACTTATTGGCTTTTAAAGATTTCGCCCGAAAGTCCCCTGCAGTTCCAGAACAAGCTGCTAGGGGGACCAAACCCACACCACTCACTAGACAGGACAATCTATCTGCCACCAAAAAATCAAGACCATAGCATATTCAGGACAAAATAGGCTTTATTCTGTGTACAGTAATACTTGTTAATTACTCCGTGTTGATCGTTCTGGTTTGATATGAGGATAACGTCAAAGTTTTAACACACGCCATCGGCCCAAATGGAGATTTGGTGGTGACCACGTTAGTCCGGTACCACATGGTAATCATCTTCCCACACTAGACGGTTTATCCGTAATTTCAGTTCAGAGGGTTTACTTTAGAATATTAATGTGATATGAATATGACTTTTTGGATCATCAAGTGTAATTTATGTATGAGTTATTCATAATAAGGACCAAAGGCAATGGGCTACGTAAAATATATGTGCATGATATCATGTCTACGTTTGTAATAAGGTCCAATAACTGACGGCTGAAAAATTCGTTCAAAGGATCCTTTTTTGTCTTAGCATCAAACAGGTTGTCAATGATCCCCTGATTTGTTTGTGTTACCGATGTTGATAATCCCCTCCTTTCACTCTTCTTTGCCTGCTCTTAAGACTCCAGTCCATAACATTGACACTTGTAAAAGACACTTGTAACAAGTATCCTGGAAAGAATTCTGAATAACATAAATGTTGAAATGCATTGTTTTGTTCGAAGGCAAAGCAAGAGGACAAAAACAATGGCTTACCATTCTTTCTACACCATGTACCAAAGAAAGAACTTTGACCGACCTTTGACCCACTCAAGTACTAAATTTATCGTAGAGTGGGGCTTACGTGGTAGTTTCATAAAGACAACTTCAGATCGATACATGGTCATACAGACAAAGTAGAAAATGTCATGTAAAACTAGTGGCTTGAAGCAGGCCCTACTGTTACCTATTCAGTACTATTGAATGCAATCAAAATGGTGCCGATGCAGATTGGGTAAACATTATATTAGTAATCTATTAAAAGGAAATATGTAACTTAGCAGTGTCTGCTCTCGCTGTTCAATGTTATTTGTTTGTGTAGGACAGCATGTTAATGTCCGAGAACAGAATAACACAAAACAGTTCTACAAAGTGTAGTTAAATTTGTCTATTGCTTACAATTAAATGTAATAGTAGAATTTTTTTGGTAGAATGTACACAACTCATGTTTTAAACAGTTTACTTTTCTCAATACGTTCATATCTATACGTCACTTGTGTACATGAGGCTGTCTGGTATGTGACGTTACAGACCACATGACTGTGACTCACCGTCATGTGTTTTGCCAATGGTCAAAGGTTAGACCAGTTATTAGCCTGGAACCCCAGACTCGTGGATTGGGCATCAAATGTATGAAATAAGATTAAGAGGGCCAAGAGAATCATCACAGCATTGTTGAACAATGTTTTAAACATACACATTTATTTGGGTTTATGGCAAAAGCATCATAGAGATATCTATTGTAAATTGTTGGGTCGGTTTGTATTAGTATCTATTTTTTAAATTTATTTAAACTTGGTAAACTATCAAAAGTTTCATTTTTCCATTGTTTATTGTGTTCATCATTGTTTGGATGTTTTGCATGTGAGATGAAATGTTAGAATGCTAAATACATTCACCACAGACAGAATTTGTGTACACGTTTCACATAGAGGCTTCCAAAGTTTTAGCAATGTTTCTTTATTTACATATATGTAAGCATATCTATTAGGTACATAACGGTCACTGAAGTCTACTTTGTTTATCTTCAAGAGCCATTTATAGGCCATCTTATTCATAAGCATCTGCATACAAAGCCCGAAAACATGGGCCTTTTTAAATCCAACCACCACAGTTAACACCCGGTCTACTTCATCGGGCGGTATGTGCCCAGGTGAGCCCCACAGCAGGGACAGGTGTGACGGACGTCCTTCATACTGTTCACACAGAACGGGATGAAACAACAGCCGAGAAAGCCACTGGAAGAAAACACAACAAGAGGACTATGACCATTCTTGATGTATCAAGAAACTATGGCCCCATTCCCACTAGGATGAAATTGTCCGGATAAAGCCGAATTGATTCGCTTTGATCCGGCTCCGAGCCGGCTTCTAAGCTAGATCAAAGCGAATCAATTCGGCTCGATTCGAACAATTTCACCGACAATATTAATAGTGGGAAAGGGCCCAATTCGTCCTTCATGATACAGAGACCTCCGCGTTTTTGTGAATGCATTGGAGCTGTGGAGGGGATTGTATGATGTAATTTAATCAGATATTCACACCACTTCCTGAATTCCTCCATATACTGCCCACTAGCTAACTGCCATATTCACCTCCCACCCAATATATGCGATGAAATAAGAAAGTAGCTATGAAGAGAAGTCTGCAACCGTCCTTTGGGTTACTAATGGTATAATTCTAACCCTACTTGAGTAAGCCTAGATGAGAGAGTGATTACTCACCCCAAAGCGCAGATGGCCCCACAGGCGACCCATGTGGCCAGTCCTGTGATGACGCTGGTAGTGGTGATGATCCGCTGTCCACAGTTCGTACACTGCATGCTGACAGGGTCCGGACTGAAGGTCGGGGGAACAGCGAGCAGCACGGTGGAGTTCCCAGCTGTAGGAAAGAGTCAATCAGAACTGTTTCATTTTCTGATAATGTATCATAATGTACTTGGACGATACGTTTTCTCTCAACAGTTTCTATCTATGGCTTTACTTCGGAAGAGCCTTTTGTTAGGACTGTTCTCCACTCTTATTTATAAGGATTTCACAAATTGGTGCCTTTAATTTCAGTCACTAGCAAGAAATCGGAGATTTTCAAACTTCCAGAAAATATCATGGAGTTTTAGTGAATTTATTGGCACAAGCAAAGAGAGGCCCGTAAGTACTTGAGCCTATACATGCCCTAATTGGTTACCCCTACTGACATACAGTTACTGTATGGGCGAACCATCCTGTCAATTTGAGGTTACAAAATCAACCTATACTGCCACTCTACTGCAATTCATACCTTACCTTGAGTGATTGCCCCATAGTAAACAGGGGTTCCGGGCTGTGCATACTGGGGTCCATATTGCTGTTGTGGTTGGGGAGGGGTTTCCTCGTTCTGAAGTAACGGCGCTTTAGTGTCCCCCATTTGGACCAGGATCTGAAACAAATTGGATATATGTTATTGGCTGATAGCTTGGATATATGTTACTGGCTGATTACTTGGATATATTATGTCATTGGATGATAACTTGGATATGTTACTGGCTGATTACTTGGATATATTATGTTTAAGACATTTTACCTTGATGAACACTTGTTTCGATGAGTTGTACTGAGACTAGAGGCAGCTATGCCCTTTGCCCTCCAGGTGACCAGAAGTACGTCGATGACGCAGCTACTGTTACACTTGTACCGGGGACGTTTAAACGAATGCCTCTTAACGAAGTAGTATACGACGTGGCAACGACTTACAAAGACTTAAAATGTATGTGGAGAGAGGTGCAAATCATTTATTAATAGTGTTAAACTTGCTTGCATAAATGCATTGCAGTGTTAGAACCACTTACGCTATTTACGTACCAGGCGCTGCCCCCTGCGTTAAGTGGTCGATCCTATGTACATCGCAATGAACAGAACAAACAGAACCTTTGAGCTGTTTTCGTGTGATGTGCTAGTCTCTGAACAGCCATCGCCTGAGAAATCATACAGATATATTGTTTTAGCCAGGTAGCGTATGTATATTTATGAAGATTATTAATCATCCCAGTTTCGTATTCATTACTCCATAGCCGACACTTTTGGTTTTAAGAATTGTATGTATGAGAAATCCACATAAAAAGTGTGTAGGGTTAAGTTCGTATCATAACATGAAGGACTTAGTCATGATATCACATTAGTTACATGATTATGGCTTTCATAAGAATTCAATAACTACACTTTTGAGTCGCCTCATGGTTTTAATTACTTATTGAGATGGATATATTTGTCGAAATGTTATACATTAAAAGCTTGAAATTCTTCAAAAACTATTATTGAGCACGATTGGAAGTCAATACGAAAACAATATTTTCCTCTGTTCAACTTTGTACATTTGTACATTTTCAGGTAGTATTTACAGCAAATCCTCATCCGGTATTATTTATGGCTTAACCTTAATTGATAAACAGCTTGTTTGGGTTGCTAGTTAGCTAGTTGAAATCGTCTCGTTTACATGTGGTTTCCGTACGTCAAAGTCCGTGACTCGTCTGACATGAGAGATCGATATTTTTCTGTTATATTTTCCGGAAGGTTCCCAGGTGAGCCCCACAGCTGGGACAGATGTGACGGACGTCCTTCAGGCTGTCCACACAGAACGGGATGAAACAACAGCCGAGAAAGCCCCTGTGAACACACACGTATGTACATGGGGAGAGGTCTGAGAATTACATTTTAGAGTTAGTATTAGGAGATATGGTAGCAGTCTTCATTTCTGTATTTATACATGTATGTATTTTTCATATCTAGTGATACTGAAACTATATTCTTGGTTGTCCATTGTTGTCGATGAAGACTTCTACATATCACTGACACTATAACGTTATTATGTAGATAGTCCCAAATCAAATCAAATCAAATCAAATCGAAAATCGAGGATTTTAGACCTAATTCAGGGGAGTATTCTTGACCTTCATGTTCAGAGACCTCTGGGAAGAGTTTTTATGGACTTGAACGAATGGATTGGAACTGTGGATGGAATTGTTAATCGGGTAGTACATCACTTCCTGACTGCCCCCGCATATCGCCCCGTTACTCCCAGAATTTCCATCAGTCATTAACCTTGTTCATTTGTGTACCTATTCCTATAGTAATGGGAGTGGGGAAAGAAGAGATATCAGCTGTTACTTACCCCAAAGCACAAATGGCCATACAGGCCAGGTAGGTTGTCGTCCCAGTGACGTATGTTAACTTGGTGAAGATTTGCTCCCCACAGTTGGTGCACTGAATGTGGACCGGAGACGCAGCATTGGTGGGAGGGGGAGAGAGAATGACTGTTGTAGGACCTGAAAGAAATGATATGCCATATATATGTATTGCACAGATTTCGATTCAAAAATACTTCTCCAGTGTTTCCCTACCAATTAGTACGCATCTTTCGTATTGTTCACTCATGTTTTATTATGTGATTCGATCGAGTAGCAAAAACTGTTTTACACTGCAAGAATTCCTTTTCGAACCCCTGGGACAATTACTCATTTCTTCTTCCCCGTACCTTGCGGGATAGCCCCATAAGAAACAGCGCCCTCTGGCGGTGTATACTGGCCGCCATATTGGTTCTGCTGAGCCATGCCCGGAGGAGGAGGTGGCGGTGCAATATCACTGTAGGCTGGAGGAGGGGCTGTAGGTGCCGTCTCCTCACCCTGTATCAGCGGCGTCTTACCGTCTGCCATACTGAGTCTGAAACACCTGCTACAATGTTTTAAATGGACGTTGACAATATAATACATGTACCATGTAGCCACTGCAGTGCGTCTTCATAGTGGTATAGAAATCTACCTACAAGATAACATACTAGTACGTGTCAAATAATATTAGTTGCTAACGTTTTGGTGATGAAGCGTTGTTAGAATAACTTACTGATAGAATATTCCCGTCTAACGCATTTAATAGATGCAGATTAAGACATTTCATTTTGTTTTCTTTGGGAAGGACGACCTTTGAACCTTGGGTCGTAGCAGGTGTATGGTCCTGCTATCGGCAAACAGGAATATCTTAACAAGACTACGCTCCAGAAATTATGTCTGGAGGAACAAGTTTAGATTTTGTCTAATTTAGACTTTGTCCTTACTCTGACTGTCGTTTTAGCCTAATCAAGTTAGTAGACAATAGGTTTACTAACACTTCTGAAAAAAAAACATTTACTTCACCCGGTTTACTTCCTTCTCCAGGTTTAGATAAACCACTTCACCCCGTCTTGAGTTGGAAGAAGTCACTCTATATTCTTACCTTTGCGTATCATAAATTATGGGCACAGCTGGACCTTACCTTCTTCTCGCTGGTGTAGGCGTAACCTTCAGTCGGGTCACATGACACTACGTGTAGTAACCAATCCTGATGGAGTGGAGAAATATCCAGAACACAAAGATACACATACAAAGGAATACATATTTTCTTGTACTGTTATGAATGACTGCTTCACCATGCTAATTTTCTTATTAACTGGTAATTCATTTGAGTAGGTAAAAGCGTCCCCTCTTAGCAAAAATGGATGGTTCCTCAATGCGGTGTCATTTGTGCAATGCAAACAGTGACTATCACGAGTTCAATATTTGCGATTTACATAGCCTGGGCGCCGCGCTTTTTAGGTTGTTGTGTGCACTATATAATCTACCCGAGTTTTCATTCAAGCTACTCTGTGTGTAATTGAAGCTTTTTTGTACATAATCTTTGATCCACTGTAAGACATGAGAGGTATAGACAAGACCGCGTGTAATATATGTATATTTGACTGACAATTGTACGTGTAGTGGCGCCATACATTAATCACCATATCAGTCATATGTAAGTAGTAGAATAGACAGCAGATTTTTCAAACCAATCTTTATTCTGAAAATGATGTTGAACAGTAAGGCCCCCGCCTCCTGGCAGTGAGACTTTCTGTTGTCACTAGCTATAGCCAGTCCAAACACCTCTATACTTAGGATGGCCCCAAGATACTGTCTACGTTACTGATGACGTCAGCGGCTGACTGGATGGTAGACGTTATCGCTGCCACTTCCTTCTTTACTTCCTCCCAACCTGGGGAAATAGTTAGTACACTAGAATATAAAACTCTTGACTTATGTATGTGTAGTGGTGCCATACTTGTACAATCTAAAATATCTTTTATTTCTGCGGCATCAAGCAAACTAAATTGTAGTACGCTTTATACTGAGTACTTATGCACAATATACTAGTAGCAAACTTGTGCTACGAAAGACCGTTATCCTAAAAGCACAATGTGGTACGTACATGCATACGTCAGGTTGTGTTGGTTGTGTGCCATATATCTGAAATATTTCTCACCGTCATCGTTCACTGGTCCGCCGCACATCGTCCTCACTATGCCGGGGAAAGCGGCGCTGCTGTTCGTTGCGCACCCCGATGGCGAATAGAGAACATGTCTGAAGCAAGAAAACTATCTGGTCAAAAGCTGATGCTACCAGTACGTAGGATAGCATACCATTGGTAGTAAATATCGATGTACCGACGAGCCTTTGCAATGAATTATAGATAAGATGCCTGCCAAACATTCACGTTATACAGAGGTCCAAGGCCAGGCAAAGAAAGGCATACCATACCAAGAAGGAACAAAGCAAATAAGCAAACAGGCAAACAAACAACCAGCAGACGAAAAGAAATCGACCCCCATCTATAGGTATGGGACCGTACAGGCATTTCAACGAAACGCCAGCAGGGTTTTGATATGTACTCAATATCATCTCAATTTTAATTTAATGTGTAAATACCAGCATAATGAAGACTCAACAAGTTAGTGGTATTTTGAATAAACATTTCAAAGAAACTTACTTGTTGAAGTGATGCGGCTGCTGGATATCAATGAAAGCTGTGTTGACCTGGACCATCTGGTCGTTCAGACTCCGGACCAGAATAGGACTGTTTGACAAGAATAACAGACGGCATGTGAACGGACTTTGTTTCCAGCTCTAGTTATGCCACTGGGACTACTACCATCTGCAATACCTTCGTATCCACGATATATTCCGTGACATATACAATGTACATGTATTAGATTTAGTGGATGGTGTACACACACTTTTGGGGAACAATTTTACCAATAGATTTTGTGCTGTCCAGCTAGCCAATACAAACAGGACTGAATTCGAAAATTATTAATTTGATAACTAACCGTTCTCATGAAGTCGTTTAACTTATTACCTTCGCCAAGAAGGTTATGTTTTCAGAGGCGTTCGTGTGTCTGTTTGTCTGTCTGTCTGTCTGTCTGTGACCACGATAACTCGAGAAGGCTTAAATGGATTGTCTTCATACTTGGTAGGTGGGTAGGTCCTGATGAGACCTCAAAATGATTAGATTTTGGGCCCCCTGGCGGCTTGTTGTGGTACTGCAGCGGAACTTCCGGTTTTGATATCTCATGATCTGGACATGCTAGGGTCACGAAATTTGGATGGTAGGCAGCTCTTGTGCTGGGGAAGAAGTGACGTAGGTTTGGGCCTCCTAGCGGCTTGCTCTAGAACTGCAGGGGCATTACTTTACACATATTCAAAAGAGGATAACTCAAGAACCGGTTGACGGATCGTCATGATTTTTGATATGTAGGTAGCTTAAGTGATGCTTGACATAATTATGCAACAATTATGCAAATCTGGATATAATTTGCATAATTTATGAGGAAATTCTATGAATCAGCTTCATTACATTATAGGACTATTTAAGCTTGTGATACATGTAAGTGAGAACAAGAGAAACACAGGCAGATATTGATTATGTAAATTAACACTTAATTTGCATAATTAATGAGAAAATGTTATAAATTCCATAATGGTAACTGCCTGGAATTTCATACTTGGGGTATTTGAAAGTTAAGTAAAGGTGAACATCATTAAACATAACTTATTCAAATGAGGACCTCATTTGTATAATTTATGAGGAAATGACAGAATAGCTTTCTTTGTTAAGATAAGGCTGTCTTTTGGTGGAGAATATGATCAACTGATATAATTCATGCAAATGAATTATATTGCATAATCCTATTTGCATAATCAGGAAGAATAATCTTTACTTTGTCAGTCATAAAGATCAACATCACTTGGCGAAGGTATGAGATCGTTGAACTCTAGTAATTAAAAATCAAATATATATAAACAAAAAATATATAATATTATATATATAAATATACTTCTGTCATAATAGAGGAAGGTAAATTGTAAAAAGAAATTATTATTTTGAGTTTTCAAAATTGAAAAGAGACATTGTGAGAAAAATCATCAACTTTGCCTACTCCTTCTTGTCGATTGCTTGTACCCGATCTTGGAAGCCTTCTGCCGCTGCAATGTAGTTGTAGACGGCTGAACGTAACGCGTCTGAGGATGATACGACGATGGTTATATATCTTTTCGATATTACGAAAGTATAGCGTAACCAATAGAATACACACACACACACACACACACACACACACACACGCGCACACACACATATATATTGGTTATGCTGTACTTGTAATATGGAAAAGAAAAGGCACATGTGGTATAAAATGGCAATTATGTAAGAATAAAAACGGAGAAATTAACTATTTAATTAAACAATAA